CCCCCCGCGCCCACCTGCACTCTGATCTTTCTTTCTAATAAAGCCTTTGATTCTCCAACATCATTTTTTAAAAGATGATGATGATGTGATCATGCATGTCCTATTGTCATTCCAGGCCATCTCGGAAACGCAGGTCCCTTGGCGCCATTGGGAACGTAACTGCAGCTGCCCCCACGGTCGCAGCCTTCCTCAACACCACCTCAACCAGCGTGCCCACCAGCCCCGAGGAGCACCGGCCTTTCGAAAAAGTGGTGAACAAAGAGTCGCTGGTCATCTCCGGCCTGCGCCACTTCACAGGCTATCGCATCGAGCTGCAGGCCTGCAACCAGGACACTCCTGAGGAGCGGTGTAGTGTGGCAGCCTATGTCAGCGCCAGGACCATGCCCGAAGGTGGGTCTGCTCCCGGGGACCATGCTGCATGGGGCGGGAGACCCAGGCTGACCAGGATAAACCCTCCGCCCTGGGTCAGTGTATATATGTACTTTCCCTTATTAACCTTTATTGTTATTATTATTACTATTATTATTATTTTAGAGATAGGGTCTTGCTTTGTTATCCAGGCTGGAGTGCAGTGGCACAGTAACAGCTCACTGCAACCTTGACTTAAGTAATCCTCCCACCTCAGCCTCCCAAGTAGCTAGGACTACCGGTATGCACCCCCATGCCTGGCTAATTTCTTTAGTATTTTTTATTTGTAGAATGGGGGTCTCAGGCCAGGCATATGGGCTCATGCCTATAATCCCAGCACTTTGGGAGGCCAAGGCAGGAGGATTGCTTCAGCCCAGGAAGTCGAGACCAGCTTGGGCAACATAGCAAGACCTCATCTCTACAAAAAGTTAAAAAATGATCTGGGCATGGTGACATGCACCTGTAGTTCCAGCTGCTCAGGAGGCTGAGGCAGGAAGATTGCCTGAGCCCAGGAGGTTAAGGCTGTGGTGAGCCATGATCATGCCACTGCACTCTAGCCTGGGTGACTGAGTGAGATCCCAACTCAAAAAAAATTATATACAGAAAAATCACCCACTTACTCTTCCTAACAATCCGGTGAGGTGGGTTTTACACGTCCATTCTCCAGTGAGGAAAAAGATGTGGGAAAATTACATAACCAGCTCAAGGTCGCCCTGCTGATAGGTGGCAGAAGTGGGATCTGATCCAAGAGTTACCTCCCTGCTTCTAACTTCCGCTTCTTACAGCCAAGGCAGATGATATTGTCGGCCCCGTGACCCACGAGGTCTTCGAGAACAACATTGTTCACTTGATGTGGCAGGAGCCGAAGGAACCCAACGGCCTGATCGTGCTGTACGAAGTGAGTTACCGGCGATATGGCGATGAGGTAAGGCTCTTGACACTCAGGCACATGCCTTCAGCATCATCCCTTCCCCTGCCTGAATTCTGGCTCAGATGCTTCTCCCATCAGATGCTGTGTTGTTAGGACTTGACACTAGGGAGATGGGTCAGGAATGCCAACCTCCACACTTCATTCCTCTGTTTCTCACATGCTTTTCAGTGGTGTCCTCTAAGTCAAGTAGTGGCCGCATTGACATAGGTCCCTCCCACCAATGCAAAAGACTCATTTTACTTTAGGGGGAGTGATCTGAGTCTGGGAATGAGTCCCTTAAAACCTTCATAAATGATTTTGTTGAGTGCCTCCCTTTCAGCACCAGACACTGTGTGAGTTGAGGAGTGAACACAGAGGTGCCCAAGAGAGAGAATCTAAGTCTAAGAACCTAAACAGCAGCTAGGCTATCCTTGGGGCTCAGTGTAGGCCCCATGTTCAGCCCTTTACACTCAATTTCTCATTCATCATATTTATCACCTTAAGACATTTTGAGAGGGTATCCCCCTTTTTTATAGTCTGCTAAGGAAGAAAAGGGTCCACTACTAATTCTGATTCTAAGACAGCATTACTTGTAAGATGCATTCCAATTTCAGAAATGTCCAAATGCAAAAATGCAATATCTCTTGGGATTGAGGAAGTGCACAGTGCATTCTCAGAGTATCCCAGTGAGCTGGCCACAGAGGCTTCCAGAGTTTAAGTCATTGCCCAAGGTCTATAAGAATAGAGTGAGGCCAGGTATGGTGGCTCTTGTCTGAAATCCCAGCACTTTGGCAGACTGAGGCAGGAGGGTCACTTGAGCCCAGCAGTTTGAGTAGTCTGGGCAACATAGCAAAACTTCATCTAGACCAAAAAAATAAAAAAATTAGCTGGGTGTGGTGGTATGCACCTGTAGCTCCAGCTACTTAGGAGGCTGAGATGGAAGAATTCTGTGAACCCAGGAGGTTGAGGCTGCAGTGAGCCATGGTCATGTCACTGCACTCCAGCCTGGGTAACAGAGGGAGACTCCAACTCTAAATACATACATACATACGTACATAAAATGTGCCCAGACCCCAACTCTAAATAAATGAATGAGTGAATAAAATGTGCCCAATGTCTTCTAGTACATTCACAGAATGCTTAGTTATGCAACCATCTCCACAGTCAATTTCAAAATGAGCCCTACCCATCTTAACTGTCACCCCTCCCTGCTCATCTTCCCTGTTTCTTCTCCTCCCAGCCTCTGGCGACCACTAATCTGTTTTCTATCTGTGTGGATTTGCCTTTTCTGGACATTTCATATAAATGGACTCATATACTTTGTGGCCTTTTGTGTCTGGCTTCTTTCCCTGAGCATGATGTCCTCAAGGTCCACCCACGCTGTGGCCTATGTCAGAGCCTCCTTCCTTTTTATAGCCAAATCATATTCTGATGGCTGTTGGATGAATGGACCACATTTTGTTTGCTCATCTTTGGGTGGTATTTGGGCTGTTATTAGTAATACTGCTGTACACGTGTGTGTATATGAGTTTCTGTGTGGATATATGTTTTCCATGTTCTTGGAGTGCAATGGCTGGGTCCTATGGTAACTCTACATTTAACTTAAAAAGAAAAAAGCCCAAACTCTATTCTGAAGCAGCTGCACTATTTTGTCTTCCCACCAGCCCCATATGAGGATTCCACTCTTTCCTCATTATTGTCCATCTTTTTGGTTCCAGCCATCCTCGTGGGTATGATGTGGTGTCTCACTGTGTCTTGATTTGCATTGTCGTGATGGCTAATTTGAGGCTATGTTTCGTGTCCTTCCCTGAACCAAGGGGATCCTTTGCCTTTAGTTAGGGAAGGAGCAACTTCCAAAGGAAGGACAGGGCATGGTTAGCAGTAAAGTGCTTATGTGAATTCTGCTCGTTAAGCAATACCTGTGTCCACAGCAGACATCCCCCCCCCAACCCCCCGGATTTTTCCCTGCTGCTATGACTATTTTATTTCCATTTGCCTGGAATGTTCTGGGTTTAAACACTGAAATCTCACATTCCAGGGACTCTTGGCCCTGGCCAAGCCTAGACAACTGTTGACTCTGTTGGCATTGGACTTAACCCTAACCCTCAAGTCTCCCAGCCTCTCATGCCATCTCCAACTGGCCTGTGTCTCCTGTTCATGGAACCCATGGGTCACTGGTAAAACTCCCCACCACAAATCCCCTGCACAGGCAAGCCCCAATCCCAGACAGACCAGCTGTGTTCACCTTTGAGGGAAGCAGAGACGGGGAAGAAAATTAGGAGAGAGGGAGAGGCTGCAATCACCTTCTTAAAAACCTTTTCATTGAGTGTGCCACTGCATTCCAGCCTGGGTGACAGAGTGAGACTCCAACTCAAAAAAAAAATTTTCATAGACACTTATTTTGGTTATTTCCAACATTTTCCTTAGTTTCCTATCATTACTTTGATCAAGAAAAAATTGACATAAAACTCTGAAAAAATATTTTTCCTTTTTTCCTCCCTTCCTCCCTTCCTTCCTTTTGAGATAGGGTATCCCTGTGTCCTCCAGGCTGGAGTGCAGTAGTGTGATCATAGCTCACTGTAGCCTCAACCGCTTGGGCTCAAGTGATTCTCTTGCCTCAGCCTCCTGAGTAGTTGAGCCTACAGGTGCGTGAAACCATGCCCAGCTAGGTTTTTTTTTTTTTGACTTTTTGTAGAGATGTGGTCTCTCTATGTTGCCCCCTTGGGTCTTGAACTCCTGGCCTTAAGTGATCCTCTCACCTCAGCCTCCCAAAGTGCTGGGATTACAAGCATGAGCCACCGTGCCTGGAAAAACTTTTAAAAAAAATTACAAAATGTACACAGCTAGAGTATAGTTTTACCACATTTATAAAATTATTTCCAGAATTTGGTGGTAAGTTATTTTTATTTTTTGCTAGTTTTTGTTTTGAGTCAGGGTCTCACTCTGTCACCCAGGCTGGAGTATAGTGGCATAATCATGGCTCACCACAGCCTTAACCTCCAGAGTTCAGAGGATCCTTCTGTCTCAGCCTCTTGAGTAGCTGGGACAACAGGTACATGCCACCATGCCTGGCTAATTTATTTTTTCTTTTTTTAGAGATGGGTTCTTACAGTGTTGTCCAGGCTGGTCTCACGTCTCCTAGGCTCAAGCAATCCTCCCACCTCGATCTCCCAAAGTTCTGGGTTTATAGGAATGGGCCACCACACCTGGCCTCTTTTTTGCTCGATTAATAGGCAAAATCACCTCTAACTATTTAACACATCACTTTTGAGTACCTCCCCCCTTTAAACCTTGCATTTAAACCTGTGCCACCATTGGAAACTGTTGATAGGGACCGCCTCTCCCTAGAAAGAGCATCACCTGTTTCTATTTGCTCACATGTTTTGCCTCAGTATCTTCCCGTGTTTGGGTCTTTTTCTCCTGTTTACACAAGCTTTTATGCAATCGACTTCTCAGTCTTTGGCTCAGGTTTCAGTTCTCATTTTTGCTGTTTTGTTTGTTTTTGTTTTTGGTGTCTATGAAGAGAGCATGACAGGGGTTCTAGATCGTTCCATCACACTCCCTTCCTGCTCCCTGCTCCTCGAGGTGGCTGGGACTAAATGACTAACATCAGAGGGTGCATTCCCCTTTGTCCCGGATAGCAGCTACCTTGGGTTTCTCTGGTTGCTTACTTGTGTCTTTCTGCTTGGTGACTCATTCCCCTTGGAAGAAACTTTGGACTGGAGCTCCCTGCCCCCACCCTCGCTGCCAGGCTGATTTGTTTTCTTGCTGTTATTGTCACATGATAAGCACGGGGTTTTCTCTCACGTTCCTTTCTCTTCTCCACCTAGCCTCCCTCCCCCTCCTAAATTTTCCAGCCCAGTTCTCTGCATGCACTATTAGCTTGGAACTGTTCTGGAAAGTTTTCAGAGTCTTGGCCAGACACTTGTAGGTTTCGTGGTCTTATTCCCCAGTGAGCTTCCTACTTCTCCTAATAAGTTCTTGGTCTGTCACAGTTCCCCACTGTGTTGATCTCCTGTCTTCTCACCAGACATTTGGGTGGATCTCAACTCTTTATGATGATGATGAAAAAAAATTAAAAGCAGCATTATAGCAAGGAAGGAGCTTTTAAACAATTTTTCCTAGACATTAAGCTCATTTCTCCACTTGGTCCTAATGAGGCAGAGGCCAGAAGGTGCAGGGAAAGACTTGGAATGCAACACTTAGACCATGTCGGTCCTTTCTGTTTCTACCTGTCTGGGGGCCTGATGAGAATGTTCTGTGGTTACCAGCCTATACAACATAGTGAGATCCTATCTCTACAAAAAGTTTAAAAATAAATAGCAGGGCGTGGTGGCACACCTATAATCCCAGCTACTTGGGAGACTGAAGCAGGAGGATGGCTCGAGCCCAAGAGTTCAAGACCAGCTTGAGCAACATAACGAGATTTCATCTCAACAAATATAAAAATTTTAAAAAAGTAGCCAGGCATAGTGGTATGTGCCTATAGTCCCAGTAACTCTGGAGGCTGAGATGTGAGGATCGCCTGAGTCCAGGAGGTCAAGGCTGCAGTGAGTTGTGATTGTGCCACTGTAATCCAGCTTGATGGAGCAAGACTCTTACTCAAAAAAAAAAAAAAAAAAAAAAAAAAAAAAAAAAAAAAAAAAAAGGAAAAGAAAGAAAGAAAATATTCTACAGTGGTCTTAAGGAGAAATAGTTTTGGAACCAAATTGTTCTGAGTTCAAGGGCTAGCCATCCCACTTGTGAGACTTCAGATAAAGCACTGAACCTGTTCAGCTGGGGGTCAGTTAGAAAACTACATCTGACGGTCTTTTTCATGTCTTGTGAACTACAAATTGCTTTTTACATTTTAAAATAGTTGGAAAAACAGCAAAAGAAGATTGGGAGAGCTCTTAATCACAGGGTACAGATGTTCACTTGGGCAGGAGGAATCAGTTGTAGGGATTCATTACTTCATATATGAATGGGAACTACAGTTAGTAATACATATTTTCAGATTGCTAGAAGAATCAATCTTAAATGTTCTCACCACAAAGGAACAGTGTAAGGTGATATATGTGTCAATTAGCTGTTACAACCTTTCCATAATGTATACATGTGTCGTAACTTCACACTGTACCCCATACCTATATACTGCCTTTATTTTTCAATTAAAAATAAAATACAAAAAATTTTAAAAGAATATCTCAGACATGTGAACATTATGGGAAGCTGAACTTTGCAGCATCGACAAAGTTTTAGTGGCACACAGCCAAACCTTTTAGTTTATGGATGCTATGAAGCATTTTTTATGTTCCTAATTTTTTTTTATTGGAGGGACAGGGTCTTGTCCTTTGACCCAGGCTGGAGTGCAGTGGTATGATGATAGCTAACTGCAGCCTCTAACTCCTAGGCTCAAGGGGTCCTCTTGCCTTTGCCTCCCAAGTAGCTGGGATTACAGGCACATGCCACCATGCCCAGCTAATTAAAACATTTTTTTTTTTCACAGACAGGGTCTTGCTATGTTGTCCAGGCTGGTCTCAAACTCTTGACCTCAAGCGATCCTCCCACCTCAGCCTCCCAAAGTTCTGGGATTACAGGCATGAGTCTTTGCACTTGGATGACAAAGGTTTATTAAGACCCAACCAAACCCTTTTTTGATGGATGTTACAAAATTGTTTATGACCGTTTTTGCAGAGTTGAGGCAGGTCTGAGAACCTGACAGTATTTTATTTAGTTCTAGTTTTTTTTTTTTTTTTGTGAGTTGGAGTCTCACTCTGTTGCCTAGGCTAGAGTGCAGTAGCATACTCAACGACCACCCGGCATTGACCTGCTGGGCTCCAGCAATCCTTCCACCTCAGCCTTCCAAGTAACTGGAACTACAGGCACGTGCTACCATGCTTGGCTAATTTAAAAAACAATTTTATTGTAGAAATGAGGTCTTGCTAAGGTGCCTGGGTTGGTCCTGAACCCGCAGTCTCAGGCAGTCCACTCGCCTCAGCCTCCCAAAGTGCTGGGATTACAGGCTGAGCCACTAAGCCTGGCCACCATCTAGTTCTTGATGGCAAAAGTTGGTCAAACTCCACCCCAAGCCTCAGTTTCCTTGCCTCCAGTGTGAGGCCACAGGTTGTTGGGAGAATCAGATGGAATGATCCAGGTCAGATGCTTAGGAAGGTTGACTGGTATCTGTCACAAGAATCTCTGCATCTGTTCCTTACTTGTAGCACTGAGGCTGAGGCAGAAGAATGTCCTGAGCCCAGCAGGTCGAGGCTGCGGTGAGCCATGATTGTGCCACTGCATTCCAGCCTGGGTGACAGAGTGAGACACTGACACACATACACACATACAAGTTTATTGTGAACTTTACTTATGGAGGGTATATAAAATGCAACTTACAAGTAATAATCATGTAAAGTCCCTCCAGAGGCTCTGAAACTCTCAAAATCGCTTCTGTATCCCACCCTGGTTGTGTTCTGCTTCCATGTTGCCCCTGGGCAATTAGGGTTAGGGTTAGGGCTAGGGTTAGAGGACTGGGCACTCAGACAATGTGCCCTGCTCACATGGCCTCCTCCTCCCTTCCAGGAACTGCACCTCTGCGTCTCTCGCAAGCATTACGCTCTGGAGCGGGGCTGCCGGCTGCGTGGGCTGTCGCCGGGGAACTACAGCGTGCGGGTCCGGGCCACCTCCCTGGCGGGCAATGGCTCCTGGACAGAAGCCACTTATTTCTATGTGACAGACTATTGTAAGTCCCCATGGCAGCCTCTACTCGTCAGGGCTGTGCTTGGTGCTGGGCATGGTGGGACATTGATGGGTGCTGTCTCTGACCTTGACCCTTGGGTCCACCAGCTGTGCTGTGTGTCCAGGGCAAGGTGCTTGCCCTCTCTGATTCTGCACATTCTCATCTGTAAATGGAAGTAATGACAGGGCCCACTTGAGGAGGTGGAGGGAGATTTCAATGACGTAAATTAAGGGGCTGGTACTTGTTACTAATGTCTCCATCTCTGTTATTAGAATTTGTCATCTGCCAAGGGTGATATTGAAGTTGGGATAGTTATGTAATTCGCAGGACCCAGTGCAAAATGAAAATGTAGAGCTCTGGCCTTAAAATTATTACGAATTTTGGCTGGGCACGATAACTTGTGCCGGTAACCCCAGCACTTTTGGAGGCCAAGACCAGGAATTCAAGATCAGCCTGAGCAACATAGCAAGACTCTATCTCTCTAAAAAAAAAAAAAAAAAATTAGCCTATCATAATGGGTCATGCCTATAGTACCAGCTACTCAGAAGGCAGAGGTTGGAGGATTGCTTGAGCACATGAGTTTGAGGCTGCAGTAAACTATGATCACATCATTGTACTCCAGCCTAGTGACAGAGACCCTGTCTCTAAAAAAAAAAAAAAAAAAAAATTTAGTGGGGCAACAGGAGGGCATCAAACTCTGAGAGTGATGCCAGCTCTGGGTGGGGACGTGATGTGGGGAGTCTGGCCATAGGCAGTGATCTGGGGACCACAGTGTGCTCCCAACATACCTCTGAGCCCACTGCCCGGTCCCACTGAACCAAATGATGTTTCAGGACTCCTGGAAAATGAGGGCCCGGGAGACCAGCACAGAGAGGCTCAGGGACCAAGCAGGAGGGGCACTGTGGCTCATGGATCCAGGCATGAGTGTAATTTTTTATGGGAACACATTTTGTTGTGAATCATATTTTTTTTCATTCTATTTCAGTAGACGTCCCATCAAATATTGCAAAAATTATCATCGGCCCCCTCATCTTTGTCTTCCTCTTCAGTGTTGTGATTGGAAGTATTTATCTATTCTTGAGAAAACGGTAAGTGTGGTGGCATGTTGGTAAATGGTTAAAATCAACCAGCTCTTGGGGAAAGCATGTCTTGATATTGGTATATTTAAGTTTATTATGAATTCCAGCCATGTGTGGTGGTTCATGTCTGTAATCCCATCACTCTGGGAAGTTGAGGCGGGAGGATCGCTTGAGCCCAGGCATTCAAGACCAGCCTGTGCAACGTAACAAGTCCCTGTCTCTACAAAAAATAGACAGATTAGCCAGGGACTATCGCACATGCCTGTAGTTCCAGCTACTCAAGAGGCTGAGGCGGGAGGATCTCCTGAGCCCAGGAAGTTGAGGCTGCAGTGAGCTGTGATAGTGCCATTGCACTCCAGTCTGGGTGGTGGAGTGACACCCTGACACACATACACACACAAAACAAGTTTACTGTGAATTTTACTGATATAGGATGTTTACAATGCAATTAACAGGTAATAACCATAATACAATATGCAATACTCTTTTTTTTTGAAAACAGGATTTATTAAGAGGACAGAAAAGCTCCCACGGTGGGAGGGGACACGAGGGGGTTGCCAACGTACAGTACTCTTTAGAGTAAATTCCCTCTAGCCAGTTGATTCTCACAGAATACTTCTGTTGATTCTTTTCTTTTTGCCCAAATCTTTATATCCATAATAAACCTATGGTTGCAATTGACAAATGACTGTAGTGAACGTTGATCAATTTTTTAATGTGCATTCAAGAGTAAAACAAAAAATGAAATAAGATGTATGTTTATCAATGATATGAGCGACATCTTTGTTGGATCAGGTAATTTTTAAAACACTAGAAGAACATTTTCTTCATGTTTGGTGCCATTTGCAATGTCTTTGCTGCAGGCATAACACACTTTTAAGTTTAATCTGCATGGTAAAACATTTTTCTCAAGTCTGGACAAACAACAGGATAATAAAGCCAGTCTTGATTTAGAGTGTTTGCCAGTTTCTTTGGTGTAAATATTCCCAGAGAAGAGTAGCAAAGAGATGCCCAGTAGCTCACTGTTGTGTTATGTTTCTGTCATACAGATACAACAGTGTTAAGAAACAGGATAACATATGTATCTTCAGGCACATTGATCATAGTAGTTAGGAAGTGATGAGTTTTGAACATGTATTGCCTTTGCTTTTAAGATAATGTGTTTAATCGGAAGCCTCTGTAGTTTAATTTTTAATGATGGTTGTAATTAGCAACCTGCTCGCACATTTCCTGAAAATCTAATGATGGTTTCTTGCCAGCCAGCTGGGATGAGCTCACTTCAGAACAGTACTGAGTTAATGGTGTTACATGGATGACCATAAATTATTATAAAAACCTCCCAGAACTGGGTGCAGTGGCTCTCACCTGTAATCCCAGAGATTTGGGAGGCAGGGGTAGGAGGATTGCTTGAGCCCAGGAGTTTGAGACCAGTCTGGGCAACACAGCGAGATACCCATCTCTACCAAAATAAAAAATTAGCTGGGTGTGTGGTACATAACGTAGTCCCAGCTACTCAGGAGGCTGAGATAGGAGGATTGTTTGAGACCAAAATTTCGAGGCTGCAATGAGCTATGATTGCACCACTTCACTTCCAACCTGGGCCACAGAGGCAGACCTTGTCTCTTTAAAAACAGAAAAAAAGAAAAACCTCTCATGGAGGGGTGAGCCTCCCATGTTAATACACTTAAGTAACCCTTTACACAGGCTTCCACTCAAAACATAAGGGTCTAGACTGGCACTCACACCTATAATCCCAGCACTTTGGGAGGCCGAGGCAGGAGGGTTGCTTGAGCCCAGGAATTCAAGACCAGCCTGGGCATCATAGTGAGAATTCATCTCTACAGAAAATGAAAATATTAGCTAGGCATGGTGGCATGTGCCTCTAGACCCAGCTACTTGGGAGGCCAAGGCAAAGGGATCACCTGAGCCCAGGGGGTCAAGGCCGCAGTGAGCCGTGTTTATGCCAGTGTGCTCCAGCCTGGGTGACAGAGTGAGATGCCAACTCAGAACAAAACAAATCAGAAAATCATAATGGGTCCATATCCCTGCCTTTGAGAGTATCCAGGAGGTCGTGGTTTTTCTGGAGACCTGTGGGATCCTGTGAGAATCTCAAGTAGTAAACTTCATTTTTCTCCTCCAGGCAGCCGGATGGGCCTCTGGGACCGCTGTATGCATCTTCAAACCCTGAGTACCTCAGTGCCAGTGATGGTGAGTACCAGCCCTTCCCTGTGGGTAGGAAGACCCTCACTGTTGGGCTTCCCATGGCATCACCATCAAGCAAGAGTGGAGGGCAGAACCCCAGGGAGGCCAAGGAAAGCCCTCTAGTTCATTTGAGCTTGGTGACTGACTTGCTGCAGAAACCCCCTTACTATGTGCAGTTGGACACCTGCTATCTGGCACCTGCCTGGATGGGCTGGGATTCTTGGGCTGGGACAACAGGCTGAGAACCTTGTGCCAGAGCTGTGGGAGCAGAGAGCTGGGGCCAGGGCCACAAGGTCATGTCCAAATGTGCCATCCAAGCCGGGAGGTCGGGAAGACAAAAGTCATGGGTGAGATGAGACTGCTAGGAGACTGGGACTTCTAGGGACACCTCTGCTGTTTGTGTACTGATACTGGTGGCCGGAGACAAGGTCTGATGTGCCTATTGCCCTTGACTGTAAAGAGGGCAGTGAGAGGCCCCTATGGAGAGGGCTTGGCTGCCCCTTCAGGGTTGGCAGCATCCATCAAATGACCGGTTTTTGAATCGTGCTTCAGAATAAAAATGTAACTTTCGAGGAATCAACACGATTGCCCAGATGGATGCTGCCTTAGGACACGGGGATAGTATTTTTCAGGGTATCCAAGTTTGGTTTTTTTAGTGGGGAGTCTCACTCTGTCACCCAGGCTGGAGGGCAGAGGCGTGATCATGGTACACTGCAGCTTCGACCTCCTGGGCTCAGGTGATCCTTCTGCCTCAGCCTTCCGAGTAGCTGGGACTACAGGCATGCGCCATGTCTGGCTGAATTTTTTTATTTTTGTAGAGATGAGGTCTCGCTATGTTGCCCAGGCTGGTCTCGAACCCTTGAGCTCAAGCAGTCCTCCTGCCTCAGCCTCCCAAAGTGCTGAGAGTATAGATGTGAGCCACCGTGCCTGGCCTGGTTTCTTTTTTTATTAAGCCTATTACAACCTGTCTCCCGTCCCCTTGGCACCTTGCAGAAACAATAGCCTCAGATGAGAAATGGCATCTCTCAGTAGCAGGGGTCTAATCAGTCAAGAAGGAGGGGCATGCAGGCCTTGCTCAGCACTTTCTGACCAGATTCTGGACCTGCTGTGGCATCTTCCTGGGCCTCTGCCATCCTATCTCCGTGAGGGGGGACACTTGTCCTGTTCCAGTGCCCGGGGCAGGACCTGGATTGCAGAAGTCACTTAATGAGTCTTGAGGGGGCTCAGGGAGGGCCCCGGGGGAAGGCAGCTACTGTGGAGGCTGTGTAGATAAGTGAGGAGTAGTGTTTCCGTGCTCTGTGTACGTGCCGGACGAGTGGGAGGTGCCCCGAGAGAAGATCACCCTCCTCCGAGAGCTGGGCCAGGGCTCCTTTGGCATGGTGTACGAGGGCAACGCCAAGGACATCGTCAAGGGTGAGCCGGAGACCCGGGTGGCGGTGAAGACAGTCAACGAGTCGGCCAGTCTCCGAGAGCGGATCGAGTTCCTCAATGAGGCATCGGTCATGAAGGGCTTCACCTGCCATCATGTGGTGAGTCCATCGGGGATGGGGACAAAGGCTTGCCCTCGTGCCCCTTCCCTCCTTCTACCTCCTTCTCCTGCATGAAGTGACAGAGGATGCTGGATTCGGACCCCTGCCCATCCCCTCTCTGCTAAGCCTCCCATCCTAAAGATGGGGAGGTGCTCTTCCTTCTCCAATCCTATCCTCTCCCACTTCGCATGGAACCATACTCTTTTGATGTCTGCTCATTGCTTTCTGGAATCTTCCCCACTTTCCAGAATCTTCCATTGCTTTCCAGAAACTTCCATCACTCTTTGGAATCTTTCATTGCTTTCCAGAATCTTTTGTCACTTTCCAGAATTTCCACTTTCTGAAATCTCCCATCATTTTCCAGACTCTTTTGTCACTTTCTGGAATCTTCCATTTCTTTCTTCTTCCCAGCTCCTTTGTAACCTGAACCACACAGAGGTCTGCCCCATCCCACCTGTACCCATTTCCATTCCCCGTTGAAGCACCTCTTCCTGTCTTTCTGCTCCAACCAGGGTCCCTTTGTTCATCTTTGGGCTCTGTGTACTTTTGTCCTTGCTACTTATATTTATGGGACATCCAAAGCCCCATTTCTATTCCCTAGATTCCTGTCCTCGAGGAACTTCTCATAAAGCAGGCAGAGACAGAATCCAAACCCGATACAGTCACTACTTAATATGTCAGGAGAAGATGCTGTGGGAAAATTAAGAAAGAAGAGGAGGGGTGTATCTCAGCAGACTTAAAGGAAGGGAGGGACTGGGTTGTGGGACGTGGGAGGGAACAGAGAGTCAGGCAGGGAGAACAGCGGGTGTAAAGGCCTGGAGGTAGGAACCTGCCTCGCTCAGGAACATTAAGGGGACTGGGTTTGCCGTGGAACGCCGCTGCAGGTGGGGAGGTCCATCTGCTCCTTGCGTCGGGGCTGACCACTCTCCACCCAGGCCACAGGGTGCAGCATGTGCTGGAGACACCGGACAGGGAGACCTCCGTGAGTCGGCACGGTGCCATGGACCCTCATCCAAGACCCCTGTGCTTGCTCTGCAGGTGCGCCTCCTGGGGGTGGTGTCCAAGGGCCAGCCGACACTGGTGGTGATGGAGCTGATGGCCCACGGGGACCTGAAAAGCTACCTCCGTTCCCTGCGGCCAGAGGCTGAGGTGAGGTCACCGGTGGGGTACCTGGCGGGGCACCTGCTCCTAGCCACGGTCGTGGTGCCACTCAACACCATCCCGTGTTTTGACTTCAGAACAATCCCGGCCGCCCTCCCCCAACCCTGCAAGAGATGATCCAGATGGCAGCAGAGATTGCAGATGGGATGGCATACCTGAATGCCAAGAAGTTTGTGCATCGAGACCTGGCGGCCAGGAACTGCATGGTGGCCCATGATTTTACTGTCAAGATTGGAGGTTCGTCTGGCTGTCTCCTTTGAAATGTCATGACCCAGGCCAGGTTTGATCTCAGAAGGAAGTTGCCTATAATGAGTTTGCTGATTTTATTCTGGTTGTGTGTAAAGTGGCAGCATTCTGGATGGAGTCCTCCAACTGTCATTTAATCGCACGTGTTGATAAACTCATTCATCTATTCACATTAGTAAAATATTTGTGTGGTCTGGGAACAGTGGCTCACACCTGTCATCTCAGCACTTTGGGAAGCCAAGGTGGGAGAATTGCTTGAGTCCAGGAGTTCAAGATCAGCCTGGGCAGTATAATAAGACCTCATCTCTACAAAAAATATCCAAAAAATTAGCCAGGTGTGTTGGTGCATACTTGTAATCCCAACTACTTGGGAGGCTGCAGCAGAGGAACCACCTGAGCCCAGAATGTCGAGGCTGCAGTGAGCTGTGATTGTGCCACTGCACTCCAGCCTGGGCGACAGAGTGAGACCCCGACTCAAAAAAGAAAAAGAAAGTAAAATTCAGTCCATCAATTTTACTGGCCACATTCCAGGTTCTCAGTGGCCACCTGAGTCTGTGGCCACCATACTGGACAGTGTGAATTTAGACGATGTCCATCAGCACAGAGTTCCCTGGCATAGGGCTGTTCTGGATAAACCATAGAATAGTTAACACTTACCTAAACAAGGTAATGAAGTATGGGCTAAGAGCCCTGGAGGAAATAAAGAATTAGTTCTGTGTCAGAGAGAAATCAGGGAGAGACCAGCTCAGGAGAGGTCTCTCTCTGTAAGGAGGCAGTGTTTTAGCCGAGATGGCCAGGTTGAGAAATGAGGCTGATATGCAAAGTCCCTGAGGCTGGAGGGATGGCTGCAAGGTGTGAACAGAGTGAGTGCAGAGGCGATCGGAGCAACGTGAGATGGGAGGGTGAAGGGAGAGATAGGAACCAGACTGAAAGAGCCTTGCACACTATGGAAAGTCATCTTGACATTACTCTACACTAGCAATGGGGGGCAGGAGGTGATGAGTTCAGGTCAAGGTGAGAGGAGTTTCAGCGATGGGGGTAGACGTGGGTGGAGCCAGGGCAGTGGGGAGGACTAGATGGATCACAGAGAGATGGGGTGAGGGAGACTGGGTGAGACCAGCCACTGTCTTGGAGGTATGAGAGAAGGGCAGTGATCAAAGGAGAGCCCAACTCTGGGTTTCTGGCTGGGCAGCTGGGTCAGTGGTGGGGCCATATCCGACGGGGAACAACAGTAGGATGACTGGAGAAAGGCCTAAGTTCAGTTTGGGGTTGCTGTTGGGGGTACAGGTAGGAAGGAAGCATTGTTAAGACTGGGATTCCCAAGCTGTGGGCCAGAATGTGGCTTTTTTTTTTTTTGAGTTGGAGTCTCACTCTGTCACCCAGACTGGAGTGCCAGGGCCGCTCCCGGCCACTGCAGCCTCAACCTGCTGGGCTCCAGCGATCCTTCCGCCTCAGCCTTCCGAGTAGCCGGAATTACAGGCATGCACTACCATGCCCGGCTGATTTTTTGATTTATTGTAGAGATGAGGTCTCACTGCCCAGGGAGTCTTGAACCCCCGGGCTCAGGCAATCCACTCACCTCAGCCTCCCAAAGGCACGGGATTACAGGCTGAGCCACTGAGCCTGGCTTAATGTGGCTTTTTCACTTGGGGCCTCCTTTTCCTTCCCTTTAAATAGTGGCCCAGCCTCCCCCACTAACTCCCCAGAATTCATTCTCTCTGGATTCTACCACCACCCAGGTTAGCCCACATAAGGCAGGTGAGTGCACACCTGAGGCAGGTAGGCGCACACATGGCAGGTGAGCCTCTCTAAGGACTCTGTGAGGGGTGGGGCAGTGAAGATGGCAGACACATGGGCCACAAGCTGAAGGCTAATAGTGTGCAAACTGTCTGTTGTCAGACTTTGGAATGACCAGAGACATCTATGAAACGGATTACTACCGGAAAGGGGGCAAGGGACTGCTCCCCGTAAGGTGGATGGCACCAGAATCCCTGAAGGATGGGGTCTTTACCACTTCTTCCGATATGTGGTGAGTAGTGTATGGGTTGGTGGCTGTCACTGGGCTGGAATTCCAGGTACCCGCTAGTGAGGGCAGGAGGGGGTGAAAAAAGTCTGCCTATCTCATGGCTCCCCATCAGGGAATCGAAGGCCGTGTCCTGTCTGAGGCCCCGGGCTCAACTAGCCCTGTGTTCCAATTGAGACTAATCCTGTAGACATTTATGAGCTGCGCTGAGAGTTGTTTTATTAACTGGCCAACCAGGTGGTAGCAAACCAAGAAGGTGTACGCGTGTGTGTGCGTGTGTGCGTGTGTGTGTGTGTGTGTGTGTGTGTGTGTGTTTTAATGGCTTCTTTGTGACTACTCTGAATTGTCATTGGCAGGTCCTTTGGCGTGGTCCTTTGGGAAATCACCAGCCTGGCCGAACAGCCTTACCAGGGCCTGTCTAATGAGCAGGTGTTGAAATTTGTCATGGATGGAGGGTATCTGGATCAACCTGACAACTGTCCAGAGAGAGTGTAAGTGTGTGAGGTGGTCATTTGCTCTCCATACATGTGCTTGGGTTTGCCTATTGTATGTCTACATGTGTGTCATGTTTGCCTGTTATATCTTTACATGTGTGCTTGGGTTTGCCTATCATGTCTATATGTACACTTGCGTTTCCCTGTCATACGAGTATCTTTCCATGTGTCCTTTTATTGAATATCATATATTTACCTGCATGCTTGTGTTTGCATGTCATGTGCCTACACACACATGCAAATCATGTCTTCACATGTATGCTTTTATTGCATGTGGTTTATTTAAACGGTTGTATAGGAAATCCACAGCAGTGCTTACCTTGGAGGAAGGAACTGGGGACCTGGGAGAGAGATCTGTGTTTGCTGTTCATTCTTTAGATACTTAAATTTTGTCAGGCATAGGTATTATGTGACCCTTCCCCAAATATTTTTGTTTTAAACTTTTGTTATAGGATTAAATGGACCCCACATACACCCATATCATTAAATATTTGGAAAATTGTCTAGCCTCACTAATAGTCTAATAAATATAAGGAAAATGCTATCTTAGCAAAAAATCAAAAGTAAAGAGAAAGAAGGAAAGAAAATTTTAATATTCAGTGCTAGCAATAGTATGGCTAGATAATCATTCTTATTACCTTCTCGTGCTTGCTACTCAGAGTAATGTTATTTAAAGTTGCAAAAAATATTGAAATGATTGAAATATCAACAATATGAGAATGGTTAAGTCAACTGATAAACTGATAATATGACAGCAATTGAAATGTCAAATGATACTTATGAAACCATTTTATAACTTGGTGGATAGGCTTATGTTAAAATATTAAGTTGGAAAAATGTGTATCTGTGACATTTCCAAATATATTCCAATGGAAAAGAACACAGATTATAGTTGAAGGAGAGTTGTGTGTGAGATGTGTTTTCTCTATATTTTGGGGTGTTTTCTAACTTTCTACAATGAACATTTATTCTATATAAAGTCCTGTGTCAGTGTTTATTAAGAAAAAAATTTTTTTTTTTTTTGAGTTGGAGTCTCACTCTTGCCCAGAGTGGAGTGCAGTGGCTGTTCCTGACCACTGCAGCCTCCACCTGCTGGGCTCCTGTGAGCCTTCTGCCTCAGGCTTCCAAGTAACTGGAACTACAGGCGCGTGCTACCACGCCCGGCTAATTTTTTTTTTGATTTATTATAGAGATGAGGTCTCACCAAGTTGCCCAGGCAGGTCTCGAATGCGGACTCAGGCAATCCACTCACCTCGGCCTCCCAAAGCGCTGGGATTACAAGCTGAGCCACCAAGCCTGGCCAGGAGACCATTTTAATGTTTCATGCCCCCAAACATAAGACATCAATTTAGAAAACCTAGTATGAAGAAATCTTGTATTGAAAAAATTACAAAGCAGAGTTATTTGGAAACACTGAGCAAAATATTTCTAACCATTGCCAAGCCTTTGATTGAAACACTTTTCTGGAAAGTGCCATATTGTAAATATTTTCAGACCAGGCGTGATGGCTCATGCCTGTACTCCCAGCACTTTGAGAGGTTAAGGTGAGAGGATCACTTGAGTCCAGAGGGTTCAAGACCAGCCTGGGGAACATAGTGAGACCCCATCTCTACAAAAAAAAAATCAAAAAATTATCCAAGTGTGATAGCACTTGTAGTACCAGCTACTTGAGGGACTGAGGCTGGAGGATCACCTGAGCCCAGGAGGTCAAGGCTGCGATGAGCCACAATTGTGCCACTGCACTTCAGCCTGGGCAACACAGTGAGACCCCAACTCCTCCCCAAAATAAAATAAATAAAATGATAACCCGTGTTCCACACCACCCTGTAGAATCCTTTCTTGACCCTGCTTTGGGATGAAACGTCCCTTTTCCAACCCATCTATCTGCGCTTCTAACGTTGCTTTCTCTGTCTTGACACTCACCTGCACAAATGGCTGCCTTCCAGTGTGAGTGCCTGCTGGCCACAGGTGTTAGCCACAGGGGTGAGGGGGTTCTGCCTGGCTTAGGGCCTTCAGGGTCCTCACTCAAGATGTGTGACTCACCCACAACGTGTCTCTCCATCCCGCAGCACCGACCTGATGCGCATGTGCTGGCAGTTCAACCCCAAGATGCGGCCGACCTTCCTAGACATCGTCAACCTGCTCAAGGACGACCTGCACCCCAGCTTCCCGGAAGTTTCCTTCTTCCATAGCGATGAGAACAAGGCTCCCGAGGCCGAGGAGCTGGAGATGGAGTTCGAGGACATGGAGAGTGTCCCTCTGGACCGGTCCTCACACTGTCAGAGGGAGGAGGCGGGGGGCCGGGAGGGGGGGTCCTCGCTGGGCCTCAAGCGGAACTACGAGGAGCACATCCCTTACACCCACATGAACGGGGGCAAGAAGAACGGGCGGATCCTGACCCTGCCTCGGTCCAACCCCTCCTAACAGTGCCTGCTGGGGGAAGGGGTTCCATCTTCACTCTCCCCTGGTTTGGAAGCCTTCAGAAAACTCAGGATTCTCACGACTCGACCGCGGTGTCCAGCAGAGCTCAGAGATTGCTCCTGTACATTTCTGCCATCATCTGACTCAGCACACACGTGTCTGGTTGCCAAGTTGACTAGCCATCAGAGGACTTAACTGTGAACCTAGTGGGGAAGGGGGTTTCCACAGCTGCTGCCTTTTGGGCAACTACATTTTCAAACCAGGATTTTTTTTTCTCTCCTAGTAGTTTGAAAGAGAGCACCTGTTTTTACAAATTTTTTTTTTCTTTTTTGCTGGTGTCTGAGCTACAGTGTAAAAGATAGAACTTCTTGTTTGTGGAACAAAAATTTGAAAGAAAAAAAAAACTAACCTTGTGGGCAGAGAATTCCAAGCTTTACAGGGTGGGCTTCAGAAAAGTTTGTTTTTTTCCTCATCCAGGCTGAAGGATTTTTTTTCTTCTTTCCAAAATCAGTTCCTCAAATTGACCAATAGCTGCTGCTTTCATACTTTGGATAAGGGTCTGAGTCCCAGCGTGTGCTCACGTGTGTACGCGTGTGTGTCCTGTAGACACGGCTGGTGTGTGTGCGCGTGTGCAAAGCATCCCTCCTGGGCTGATGCTCTGGGAACTGGTTCTTGAAGGTTCTGCTGTTCTCAAGTGTGCGAGCTCGTGTTCTTTCCTTCCTTCTTATTGACTGGGAGACTGTGTCCTCGACAAGTTCTTGTGTCAGAAGTCCAGCCTCAGGTTTCTTCCCTCCCTTCATGTTGGTGAAAAAAAAAATGCCTTCCGGGAGCCAAGGGAGGAGCATTTTTAGTTTGGAGTGATTGTGGATCTTTTCAAGACCAAACAAAGCCAGGACACTTAAAAAAAAAAAAAAAAAAAAAAAAGAAAGAAAAAAGAAAAGAAAAAAAAAAAGAAACTCAGATTACATAGAGTTTTGAGAATATATTTGTAACATATTTAATTTTAAAAAAAACCTCTGCATCAGCCTCGTAAGTTATTGACTATTCCCCAGAGGTGGGAGAGGGGAGGGGGTCGTGGGCTGGTCTGCCTACTGGGGACAGGGCAGGGGGCAGGGAGGGAGGGAGGCCTCTTTGTTTGGTCTTAAAGGCATCCATTTTCTGGGAATTAAGCCACGTTAGCTGCTAACCCTTTTTGGACGGTGTGAGGCCTCACTGATCATGTGGGAGACTGCATTTTATGGATAGTCTGACTCAGATACCAAGGTCTGCTGGAAAGCTCCCGTTCGGATAAGCTGGTAGTTGCCCAGTGCTAGCCCACCTTCGAGATCAACTGTGTTCACCCTCTGGTTTTTCTGTGTGTACCTCCTGCGGTGTTCCCTCTCCTGGGTGTGTACACATGCAATGACATCTGATCTCAAAGAGCAACCCCACTGGATTTTGAGAACATCTAAGCAATAGGACAGGGAGATGGATGGGAAAGACCTCCTGGTCCCCTCCGTCCTGGGGCATCTGACTGTGCTGCTCCAGACGCAGTGACCTCTGCTGGGCCAGGTGTAGTGCCTGGGCAGAACTCTCAGGTGCTTATGATGCTGCGATCTCTAATAGAGTCTGGAGGAGAAGCCGTTGAAGAGACTTCCACCACCGAGAACATCCAATAGGGCGTGAATCCAGTTTCCTCTCTTTGCAGAAAGAATGATCACAGCTTCTCAAAGAACATGGTGAACTCATGACTTTGGTTCGTTCAAGATTAATCACCAGTGGATTATTCCTGAGTGTGCTTTCTCACAAGTGTTTAATTGTTTTCCTTCCCTTAATAGTTGTGGGCTTAAGAATGGGATAAAGACATAATGACACCCTCCAAGCCCTCTTGATTGTTGATTAAGAACACAGGTAGACACAAATCCCAATGGTCTATTGTTATTTATATGATTTGCAAAATTACAGCATGCAGAAATATCGCTGGGGAGCCTCAGTGATTGGGTACAAGGAGCAAGAGTACAGAAATTATTTTTGCCAAATTTATTCTGTAAATATGAGGGTCTGTACGTAAATTTTTTAAAAAGCACGTAGATCTAGGTATTTTGTTCTTTTCATAGTAAATTTGTAGTGGTTGTATACTACACTAGCAGCAGTTTTCACATTTTTCTAATTCAGAAGGTTTTCTTATATTAGGGGGAAAAGTATTTATTTTAATATATAAAATCACTCTGAAAATCACTCTCGTAAAAAAATGGATCGCATGTAAATTTTTATCAAAAATAAGCAGGTGATTGTGGGGTAATGATTTTTTTCTTTTTCAGCACAGTCTACCTCAGTGTATTGTTAGGATGTGGTTCACTAATAGACATCTTCAGAATTCTACCTGGATCTGGTCTGAATAGGGAAAGTGTGTATCAGCTGATTCCGAGTGCCAGGGACCAGTAAGAATTTTGAGGGAGGGAGATGGGATGGAGAAGGTGTGGCCTTCATGTGAGTATAGATCCTTTTCTTCCCGGCTGGTAATATTCTCCAAATTTAATCTTCCTTTATTATTATTATTATCTTGATCCTCCATTTATTGACACCATGCTTCCCAAACAGAAGCCAAGTGTCACGCCATGATTATGTGTCTGATATATGAGGGACATGCCAGCATTGTCTGCCTTCCTTTGGTGGGAGATGGATGTCCCGTCTACTGGTGGGACAAAGACAAGCTTTGGTTCAGAACTGGCATTCCCATCTGTCCCATGAATCCCCTAGAGTGAGCACAAAAGTGCCCTGAGCTCACCAGTGGTCTACTGGCTGATGGTGCTACTAGGGGCAGGATGAATTGTACTCATGGGCAACACACACACCCCACACACCCCTAGTGCAGTGTCTCTTTTTTATTCTCCAAGCAGGAAGGGGGCATTTGGAGAAATCCCAATTCTAAATCTACTATTGTGTTAAACACTTTTTTTTTTTTTTAGAAACAACACCTTGGAACTCTCGGTTGGAGTTTAGTTGACCTCAAGCAGATACTATTTGACCTTGTGTGACTTTGAGAAAACCCGTGTGAAAGTCTAGGCAGGGTTGTTGTCACACTCACCAAGGCTTGCTGGTCTTGTGCTTTCAGGCAGTGCCCATGCAGATGCAGCCTTCACCATCTGCCCTGGAGAGGGGCAAAGTGCTGGGTCCACCTTGTGCAAATGTTTCACTGATTTAATTTAGCTATCTCTACTGCTGCCATGAACAGAGCAAGCAGCTCTTGGGCTACAAGCCTCCTCTGGCATCAGGAAATATTGACTTTGTAGCAGCAGAAACTCCCACCCGAGAAAGGCCACTTGAGAAAGGCATGGTTGTCCTTGTAGTGATGCATTACCAAAAAAGGCAACAAAATTGACTTAGGATGACACTTTTTGTTGTTTGTTTTTAAAGCTATCTCACTGTTACTACAACCCATTTCATTAACATGTTGAAATCCACACAGTAGTTTCTTCTTCCAGGAGGAGAATACCAGGCACATCGCTTTCTCCCTGGATCAACGATGTCAAGCACACTGTCAGGAAATGTTCATGTTCTGGGAGCTGTCTAGGTGCTGTTCTGTCCTTTGAAGCTAGTGAGAAGGGGAAGCACTGCTGGTACCCTGGATATAGACTGAGCACAATTGAGAGTGAATGTGGGAATTGATGCAGAAGTCTGCATGTACAGTCCCGTGGCCCCAGAAGACTGTACTCCCAATTGATGGGCTGACTTCCACTGTATCCCCCAAGGGCAAATGGTCCACCGTGAAATGTGCTTATTGGGGTGGGAGGTGTTTATGCGTGACCTGCTGTAACACTGGTCAGTGGGCAGGAATGCCATCAAGGTGTGACCCATGCTGGTCATTGGTAAATGAATGGATGTCCTGTTGTCCTGACAACAGTCATTTTCCTACTTCATGGTGGGAGTTTGGTGTTAAACATCCTTTGGATGCCACCTGGGGAGTCCTTGACACCTTAGGCTCTTCAGAGATTATGGTTTTGCTGAGGTGGAGGAATAAGGAATGCTGACTTTATATAAATGGTGCATGTAGAGTGGTGTCACTTCAGAAAATCTTCCAGAATGCTCTTCAGAATATTAACTTACACCAGAGGTGAGGTTGGGAGTGAAAAGAACAGATTGGCCCTTATTTTTTAGAACACACAAAAGGATATGGTAGGCTTTCAGGGGCTGCAATGGAAGGCAAATGTTTCCTTAGGGGCCCCCAAGAAACAGAGGGAATCAATGGTTTTTGAGTTCACTGTCGAATCCTGATACCAGTCAAGGTTCAGAATCAACCTCCAGCCAAATCTTTATCTGGATGTGGGCTATACAGATTCTTGTTTAAAAACCAGATTATGAATCTGCCACACTCAGTCCCATTTGAGAAGGAAGGAATAGCCCAGAAATGAGTGTGCGTCCGCGCACATATTCAGGAATGGCTTACTTAGTCTTTATACTTTGCCTCTCAGTTGCTGCTCCTTGTTCCTTTGTGTGCCTGGGTGGCCTCGGCCCTGCGTGTTGGCTACGCAGGATCAAATATGCCGCAGCTTTTGCAGAAAACAACTCAGAAACACAAAACCCACCAAAAGCTCAATTATTTTTTTTCAATGTTTTCCTACAAGAGCCAAGTAGCACCATGTACAGAAGATGCTTCTTTTTTTTGAATATTGAAATTGTTCTGCATGTAAACTATGGGATAATTACCTGTTTATATTAAAATTCTGATTAAATTATCTGAGAATACTCCTGTTTTTTTGTGGTGTCCCCGACCTGTGGTATGGGGCGGGGTGTGCCTATGGGTTAGGCCATGTTAAGGGAAACCTCTTGGGAGTTGTGGGTACCTGTTTTTTTGGAGGGAACCCCTAGATTACATGGAGCTGAGGATTAAATAATTACTACCAGCAGAGCTGAGGACCCACAGCTGTACAGCCCAACAGGTGGTTTGAATATTATGTCATTTCCATACCAGTTGGCAAATAACTGCTTCCCCGAAGGTCCCCAGAGCTCCCCCACTAATGAACTCATCCTAGGAATATTAATGGAACCCCCAAGACCTTGCTGTATTTCAATGTGCCAGAAATTTACACGTTAAATATTTTCTTTCTTTTTTTGAATTGGAGTTGGTCTCTGTTGTGCAGTGGCACAATCACGGCTCACCATAGCCTCAGGGCTCTGCTTCCTGAGTAGCTGGGACTACAGGTGCACACCACCACATCCAACTATTTATTTTTATTTATTTTTGAGTCATAGCCTCTGTCGCCCAGGCTGGAGTGCAGTGGCACATTCATGTCCACCGCAGCCCTAACTTCCTGGAGTCAGGCAACCCTTCTACCTCAGCCTTCCAAGTAGATGGAACCACAGATATGCACCACCATGCCCGGTCAATTTTTTAAATTTATTGTAGCAATGAGGTCTCACTATGTTGCCCAGGCAGGTTTTGAACCCCTGGGTTCAAGCAATCCTCTTGTCTCCACCTCTCAAACTGCTGGGATTACAGAGGTGAGCCACCACACCCGGCCAATTTTTTAATTTTTTGTAGCGATGAGGCCTTGCTACGTTGTCCAGGTTGGTCTCATACTCATACTCCCAGTTAACCTGGGAGAGGACTGCCCAAGTGTGCGGATACAGTGAACTAACTGGGGACCAATCCTGCAATAGTCTCGTACATTTCTCACATGACCCTTCTATTATCAGTGATACTCCTGTGCTCAAGTGATTCTCCTGCCTCGGCCTTCCAAAATGCTGGGATTACAGGTGTGAACCACTGTGTCCAGCCCATGTTAGATATTTTCAATGACATCCTTGGAATGAAGACTTACTCCCAATTGGGCTGGCAGGTGAATGACCCTGGGGCCATGGATTGAAAGGCTTTCTTTGAAATGAATGCAGGGTGTAGTGGATTAGGACGGCAGTCCCCAACTTTTTAAAAATCAGGGACCGGTTTTGTGGAAGACAATTTTTCCATGGACCGAGGGGGCGGGAGGATGGCCTCAGGATGATTCAAGTGCAGTACATTTATCGTGCACTTT